CCCCCCCAAAAAAAAAAATGACCTTTTTCTCCGTGGTGTATTATTCTAGTAGATGTAAAGTTTCATTTGGTCACTTTTAATTCATTTATCAGTGTTAAATATATAAAGTATCAAAATCTCAATTCTGTTTGATTCTACAGATGTTGTTGTTGCACCTCCCTTTGTTTATGTCGATCTGGTAAAGAACTCATTGACAGATCGGATTGAGATATCTGCTCAAAATTCTTGGATCGGAAAAGGTGGGGCTTTCACAGGAGAAATCAGGTTAGAGTGTTTCTTCTTGATGACTTAAGAATATTGGTTGCATTGCACTTGCCATTATACATTTCCACTAGAGTCAGATAAATGTGTCCTGCAGCCCCTTTTACTTTCTTTATCCACAATTGGTGATAGGATTCACAGTTTTAGGAGATTATTTTGAATATGCTCGAGAAAAAAGCCAGGGTGTGTAGTTTTGTTATATTTTCAATGTTATTCCATGTTTTGTATATGTATTTGTCAATTCAACAATGATATATGGCATTGGATAGGACAGATGCTATTATTGTCTGGTTCCCCAGTTTAAAACTGAGGCGGCATTGTGGTGGACAAATATGGGGTTTTTGGCCATGATCGTAACTGTTTAGTGCTCTGTTTCGGATTGCACTTCTGTTTGCTCAGGAATGAGAATCTACAGCTGGGGTTTGCTTGTGTTCCATTTTCATGTTCTCATGGACCATGGGAAATAACGATGCATTTCTGAGTAAAAGGACAATGCCTGGTGTTTGTCCCCATTAATCAAGCCTGTTGGACTGCTGGAAGGGTAACACTTGAGATAGACGTAATCTGTGGCTTTATTTATACAATGTGGCTGCTGTCAGACTCAAGCCCACGTTCTCATTCTTGGCCCGAGATTTTATCAAGCGTTTCTGTCTATATGTCAATCTTACAATTTCACACAAGTAAACATGCTCACATTTCTGTTTGCAGTGTGGAACAATTGACGGATATTGGTTGCAAGTGGGTTATTCTTGGACATTCTGAGCGGAGACATGTTATTGGAGAAGATGATCAGGTAAGGATTACTAAAAATTTGATTTCTTGAATCTTGAACTTCCAAAAGATAAAAGTCACCTATCTAAAATGAAAATTCATTGTCATTGGGTTATTAATTGTATTTTATGACAAATTGAGGCCATGTATTCGATTCATGACTGAAGTACTCTCACTCACCTTCAGTTTATAGGAAAGAAAGCTGCTTATGCCTTGAGCCAGGGTCTCGGAGTGATAGCCTGCATTGGTGAACTGCTAAACGAGAGAGAAGAAGGAAAGACATTTGATGTTTGTTTTCAGCAAATGAAGGCTTTTGCAGGCAAGCTTCCCTGGTTGTGGTTTTTTCTCAGAAATTCACCATCTGTGGGATTTTTGTGAACCAGAAATGGCTTTGCTATCTTTTTTTGGACATGTAACCCATGTCCATGATTTGCAGATGCTGTGCCCAGTTGGGATAATGTAGTAATTGCTTATGAGCCTGTATGGGCAATTGGAACTGGTAAAGTGGCAACACCCCAGCAAGCTCAGGAAGTACATGTAGCTGTTCGTGATTGGCTCAAAAAGAATGTTTCAGCTGAAGTTGCTTCTAAGACACGTATAATCTATGGAGGTATTATTATTTTTACACTCTTATCTATACAATCATGTAATTTTCTTTTGCTAGTTTTAGTTTTGGGATATATTAGAAGATATGAAGAAAGCCTTCATTTTTCAAAGCATCTGTGTCATAATCCTCTCTGTGATACTGAGAGATATGTGCTGAGGTCATGTAAAGTCTATGTCTGTATTACTTGTGGAAAAAGCATACTTTCTCTCTTTCTCTCTCTCTCTCTCTCTCCACGACACTCTTCATTCTGAATCACTGTCAGCAAGAGCTACCTCCTTCGTGCAGACCTCTGCACTTGACCCTCTACACTGTTCTTACCAGCTTTATTTGTCTGAATGCTCCTAAACTTCTAGATTTAGTTATCATATGCTTTTGCTCATATTTGCTAATCGGAATCCAAATCTCTTTTGCAGGATCTGTAAATGGTGGCAACTGCGCTGAGCTTGCGAAACAAGAAGATATTGACGGATTTCTTGTAGGTGGTGCTTCCTTAAAGGTATCATACCATTCAAATCATCAATATGTGTATCATACTGGTTTCATTTCTATATTTCCATCTTGTGTACTGTACTGTATGGTTTCTATAATTCATTGCTTTCTAAATTGCATTGATTAAGTGCAAGCAGTGCCCTTTCATTGATTATTTAAGTAATGTCTTGCTACGTCTCCTTGGTCCAAACATCAAGTACCTTTCAGCCAAATGATGGAATAAATTCCTTTTGTCCACTTGAAAGGGAACAAAGTTGTAAAAAAGCCTTGGAAGTGTGCATTAGTTATTTGTAATTTGTATGTATATATATATCAAACATGTATATTTTGTGTTATGTATATATTAAGAATTTAAGATGCGATACAGTAAGAAGACTTGGGATCTTTCGTTCCCCAAAAATCTGTTGGTGTATCCATGATTAAAAGTTTGAATTTATGTGTTGCAGGGTCCTGAGTTTGCAACCATTGTCAATTCGGTAACTTCCAAGAAGGTAGCTGCTTGATCATTCATGGTGACTTTGGCAACTGGGCAAATAAATGGCTTAAGGAGTCACGTGAAAACTTATGAGCTAATTCAGTTTGGTGGGATTTTGATAGTTTTTCCATTTTTCCCCTGCCATGAATATTTAAAAAAATAAAAAATAAAAAAGGACAAGAAACGTGGCTTTCATTTGATTGCTTGATCTGTTTGAACAAGAAAGATTGAAGATATAGAATAATTGTCAACTTAGTGGCATATATGTTGAGTTGTGTTGCTTTGCTTATTCCTCATTAGAATAAGACAACTAGACACCACATGTTTTTAGCATCTATGAACATTGCTTGTGCTATATATGACTCTTTTCTATGAAAAATAATTTCTGTTTTGAAAGGTGTTTTACTACAAACGAAGGTTTCGAAAATCGGTTGCGGTGACACGCTTGCAGTTGCGGGGTGTGAAAGTCGTAGCGTAAGGTTGCAATAATTGGAACTGTGAATTTTTAAATTTTTTGCACAATTTGAAAAAAACTTATCAATAGGCATATTTTTTTTTTTTTCAAAATTACATTTATTAGGGTTTAAAATAAATTTTGATCAATTTTTGTTAAATTTTATGTATGATATATATTTCATATTTTTAAATCACTATAAAATGTGTTTTTTATATTTTATTTTAATAGTTAATAAATAACTTTAAGAATAATTGATTTTAAATGTTTATAAAATTATTTTTGATCAATATTTGAACTAACTAAATAAAAGAATATTTACAATTATAAAAAGGCTAAAAGATTAAATTTTGCGTTTCAAATATATAGCTGTGAATGTTTTTTTAATATGGGTCAATCTTCACAGTATTTACACTTGTAATTGACGGTTAGTGTTTGTTTGTCGTAATACTTTTTATGGGTTTTTACTTGTTAACATTATGTACTGAATCTACTTTTGACAATATACTATGGTGGTTGTACCTTTGTTATAACTGTATAGGAATATTTGGTGATGTTATGTGAGGTGAACTTGTCTTGAACTTTGGGGATTTAATGTTGGGTTCATCTTTTTTTGGTTTAGTTTTGGACTGTTTGGTTGTTATTGTATGTTATTCAAGTATATTCATTGATACCAAATAAATAGATAAACAGATTTTTTTTTTTTTTTTTTTTTTTGGAAAAAAAAGTTATTCAAAATATTGTAACGGTGTGTAACGGCCGTTATGTAACACCGAAACGACCGTTATACATGTAAATTTTCGTCACATCACAAAAATGAATGTTATAAATAACGCTTACCACTACAACCATCACATAAAGACCATAATCTTTACTTAACACCATTTTAAAACCTTGCCACATACTATTAAGTACATTCTCCCAGTAGGCTTTTATTTGAAAAGGCGACACCTTTTCTTTCAACTGAGCTATTATGTTCAGTGGTTCAAATTACCGTTGCTCAGCAACCATCTGAGAGCTTCTAAACATGCAACAGCCTCTGCCATGAACAGTGAACAAGCTGGAAAAGGACCGTCTCCTAGCCTTTCTTCTACCCTTAGTCTCCTGAATATACTATATTTTGTTGTGTTACATAAGAAAAGGTTATTAACTTTAAGTGAACTCTTATTGTTGAGCCTCTAGTAACTTGATGTTATTGCACCCATTGACACCATAGTTCATTGTAATTTGGTAAACAATGTTTCCAAAGTAGGTAGGGTTAGTCAAATGGTAAACTATTTGAACAAAATCACATTTTCAAATCCCTCGGGTATTTCCTTTTCAAATCTCCTGATTTTGGTCAACCTTCTTACCTCTATATATTTTCTGTTGGTGATAATTATAAATAAAACATCAGAAAATAAATAATAAAAATTACAATAACTATTATAAGGGCTAAGGCGCAGGAAATTTACTCTCTTTAAAGAGATTCAAGCCCTCTGCGGTTAGGCAAAGCCACACACCGGTGCAGCAGAAAAATCCTTGACTTGTCCTTCCAGATACAACAGTCCGACTAAGTCGTATGGTTAACCAATACTGCATAATTGGTTGAATCCAAAACTTTATCACATAAACCATTTTTTATTTGCCTGATAATCTCACACAAGACATAATAAAAGCAACCAAAACTTCTTCTCGTATATCTCAAGATAGGACATAGCTCAATATATATAGGAGAAAAGGCTACGAGGGTCTTCCTTGGTGGATAAGAAAAGGAAGACTTGGAAGACTTGAAAGGATAAGACTTGGCGAAGACTTATCTTGGAAGACTAGGAAGACTTGATGTGGATAAGAATGGGGAGACTTGACCAAGACTTGGCAAAGACTTGAATGGTAAGTAAACTTGGTAGAAAAGAAAAGAAAACCGACCTATAACACATTATAATATTAAAATACCTGCTAACATTCTCCCCCCTATTTTAATATTATAGGTAACAAAAACTGAGATTATTAGGCAAATAAGGATATTATGCATCATGGTAGGTGTGCTCTGCATTGAACTTCCATTAGTGAAACAATAATATCTACTCCAAAGCCAATAGTATGCTCAGCATTGAACTATGACTACTTAAGGGAAATAAATAATTATTGCACACACATAATATTCCAAGTGTTCACAAAAGCTTTAAAAGCTAGCACATTACGGCCTTGTGCGATCCTAGGATTCATGAGTGTATTTGAGAATTAGCCCAAATCTCATAGATAGCAGCCCCACTACCACACTCACATAGCTGAATTCTGTCAAGGGTGTTCCTGTTACTAAGACACCCCACTCAATAAGAGTTACAGAAATTCATTAAGAGTTTTTTAATAACTCAGCCTCTACAACGTTACAGGATAAATGCACTTACATCACAGGGATGGGTAAAAAGTAATTTTAGTGCATTTCTCACGGCCATCATATGATAATTTTTCTCATTGAACCCAGTTATAGGATCTCTAGTCCTTGGGTTGAGTATCCTCATACATGGCTCCTGCTATATTCAATGGGCTTCAACCCTATCCCCCTCGATGTATTTCAGACTCTATCTCTTGCTAAGGCCTTAGTTAATAGATTTGCAAGATTATCACCAGATTTAATATAATCCACATTTATGATGCTATTATTCATATAAGATCTCACAGTACTGTGTTTTCTTCTGATAGGTCTGGATTTACCGTTATAATAACGGTTATTAACTCGATCAATTGCTGCGGTGCTATCACAATGAATCAATATAGGTGGAATTGGATTTTCCCAATAAGAGATTTCATTTAACAAATCTCTTAACCAATTTGGTTCTTCACTAGCTATAGCTAAAGCAATAAGCTCAGCCTCCATTGTTGAATTAGCAATAAGGGTTTGTTTTTTCGATTTCCAACTTATAGCACCACCTTTCAATGTAAATAAGTAACCAGTGGTTGATAATGAATCACCTGACAAGGTATTCCAATCGTCATCACTGTAACCTTCAAGTACTACAGGATACTTATTATAAAACAAGCCATATTTTATGGTACCAGATAAATATTTCATAATACGCTCAATGGCTAGCCAGTGATCACTGCTAGGCTTGCTCGTAAACCTGCTAAGTACTCCAACTGTATATGCAATGTCAGGTCTAATACAGTCAGTCGCATAACGCAAGCTACCAATCATACTAGCATAATCCTTTTGATTAATTACATCCTCATCATTTTCAATAGGAAATAAACGCACATGAGGATCAAAAGGAGTAAGAACATGCTTGCAGTTATAAAAATTATATTTTCTCAAAATTTTCTCAACATAATGCGACTGATCAAGAAATATACCATCATAGGTTTTGGTAATTTTCATTCCCAAAATATAATTAGCCTCACCAAGATCTTTCGTATCAAAATGGCTACTAAACATATTTTTAGTTTCCTCGATGATATGCAAATTAGAGCCGAATATAAGTAGATCATCCACATAGAGGCTAATAATGACATGTGAATTCTCTTCAGATTTATAGTAAATGCATTTATCACATTCATTCGTTTTATAGCCATTCTCAATCATGTAGGAATCAAATTTCTCATGCCACTGTTTAGAGACCTGTTTTAAGCCATATAGGGATTTAACTAGTTTGCACACTTTGCTTTCTTGACCGGGTTCCACAAAACCCTCAGGTTGATCCATATAGATTTCTTCACCTAGGTCTCCATTTAAAAAGGCTGTTTTAACATCCATTTGATGAATTTTTAATCATGAATTGCAGCCACTGCAATTAATAATCTAATAGATGTAACTCTAGTAACTGGAGAAAATGTATCAAAAAAGTCAAGATCTGCTTGTTGTTTAAAACCTTTTGCAACAAGCCTTGCTTTATATTTATCAATAGTTCCATCCGATTTAAGTTTTTTTCTCAAAACCCATTTACAGCCAATAGTTTTACAACTTGGTGGTAAATCTACTAATACCCAAGTTTTATTAGATAATAATGATTCTATCTCATCATTTACAGCCTCGCTCCAAAAAACAGAGTCAGGAGATGCCAAAGCTTCTTGTAAAGTTAATGGAGTTTCCTCCACATTAAAAACATGATAATCAGGGCCAAAATCTTTTTCTAATCTAGCTCTTTTACTCCTTCTAGGTTCAAAACCTATAGGATCTTGGTTTTGTAAAAGAGGAGTAGAGGAACTAGTTTCAGATAAAATATTTTCTTGATAATTTTAACCCCCCACCATTTTTAGATTTAAAAGGAAATTTTTCTTCATGAAAAATTGCATCAACTAATTCAAAAATTATTTTGTTTTCAATATCAAAAAATCTATAGGCTGTACTATTTGTTGCATATCCAAGAAAAGCACAAGCGGCAGCTTTCACACCTAATTTAGGTCTTTTAGGGTCCACAAGTCTAACAAAAGCTAGACAACCCCAAACCCTCAAATATCTCAAATTTGGCTTATGCCCTTTCCACAACTCAAAAGGTGTAACTTTTATTTTTTTATGTAGCACTCTATTCATAACATAACATGCTGTTAAAATTGCTTCTCCCCACAAATTTGAAGGAGCACCTGCTTCAATTAGCATAGCATTTGTTAAATCAGTTAAAGTTCTATTTTTCCTTTCTGCTACACTATTAGATGCAGGTGAATATAGTGGAGTAGTTTCATGGATTATTCCCGAAGACGAGCAAACGAGTTGAATCCAAAAGATTCATACTCCTGACCTCTATCACTTCTATACCTTTTAATCTTTTTACCGAATTGATTTTCAATTTCAAGAAGAAATTCTTTAAATTTTTCAAAAGCATCACTTTTATTTTTCAACAAGTATACATAAGTGTATTTTGAAAAATCATCAATAAAAATGATAAAGTATCTATTTCCACCACG